CAGAGCGACATCCACGACTTATCCTCTTTTTTTTTTATTTATACTTAATCAAACTATTTGAGTTAAAATGTGTTAATCAATGAAAAATATAACAAAATTATTTAATAAAAACTACTTTTTTGATAAACAAGGGATTTAACACCTTAACATTAAATTAAAAAAGTAATAAAAGTAAATCAATGAGATGTTTAATGTACTGGAGTGGAAATTAAACAACAATTTATTATTATTATATTTATATTTAATTATATCATTATAGGGAGAGAAGAATCTGCTGATCAGACAGTTTTGTTAGAGTTGTCACGTACGCTAGGGCATTCCGATAGTTATATATTTGATATAATATAAACATAGTTATAATAAAAAAAAGATACAATGACAACAAATTCATAAAACTATATAATCTGGTCACTGCAATCTTAAAAAACATGTAATTGCTACAACATTACAGCTCTTTATTATCATTATTCTAATTGAAGTTTGATAAGTCTTGAGTCTTAGTTTTGTTTTTAATTATTTTGAATTMTTGAAACAATTTTCAAAAATATGGACTTCAAACACTCCCATTTTTTGCATATTATTATTATATTTTTCTGTTGATTATTTAATAAACACAAATCTTTTAACTATAAGTAGCTACAATCATTATTAACACTTTTTAAATTGGTAAATGATCATTATTAAATATATTAATATTTAATAGTTTTGTATATTATGTTAAAGTCTTTTCTCAACAAAATAGTTTTATAGTTTTATTTAAGTTATCATTACACTGTGTTTATCTGAAAATCCATATAAACTTAACTTTTTTGATTAATAAAAATATATAAACAACATCTTGTCAGTTGAATTAGTAAGTAGTAACACTAAATACATACTTATTAATTTTTTTTACTTGTATTAATTTAAATTGGCCAAATACAATAACAGTAATATCAAATCAGGTAGTTTTAAAATGTAGATAAGTAAATAGTTAGGAGAATATATTAAGTTTTAGCAATCAAGCATGTGTTTAGTTTTATTATGATCAAAATTAAATTTTATATATACATATATATCTCAATACATCATATACAATTAAAAATATCCTCATAAGGTTTATTTTTATGTTTGACCCAAGGACTTAGATTGTGGGTAGTGTAAAACTTGGGGCAATCATAAAATTATAATATGAAATACTACTTTGGGTCGAAATTTAAGGTTTTTTGTAAAGTAAATAAATTACACGTATAAAACTATGTAACTACTTCAAATAAAAAATAAACAATTTTTTTAAATTTTATTGAGTAATGCGTGGACTGTGGAAAAAATATTTGAAACTTGAATTTAGATAGTAACGATTAAGTGTTATAATGTTATAGTTAAGGGTGCGCAAAATTGCAGCTAAAATAGTTATTACAATCATGGTAAAAACTAAATCTTTCTCCATGCTTWTTATAAGCACTGCATTTACTCGTTAGAAAGCATTTATTTGAAATTTGAATTCATAAAATTATAATTTACATACCTATTGCAAATTACATCCATATTCCTACATCCACTGTTTTGTAGATATTAAACTTAATCACCGCAGTGTGAAGTGTTCACAATTAGATTTTATATTAAGTTTTTTATGGGTTAATGTTTACTTAAATACTTAATTAAAAATAATAAAATACAATTTAAGACTAAAATAGTTAAATAAACACATAATATAAATCATAATCATACAAAATTAGTTTTCTTCACTCAAATTATTTTTTTATTTTTTATTTTAAGTTGCATGGCGGCTGCCTATAGTGCTAAGCTATAATGTAGTATCTCAGTTTGTGTTACAACTTATAGATATATACTTTTTCTTATACGGTCTGTGATTATAGTAGTATAGTTAAACCTTTATAGTTCCTTAGTATGATACTATATAATATCTTAAGTTCTACGACTATATGAATCACGGTTACAGATTATGTTTTAGATATTGTAATTTTTGAGTTGTGCAATATGATTATTAGAAAAGCAGCTTGATAAAAATTAAAAATTAACTTCAATATTTTCTACCATAACATAGAAGTACATAATAATAACAATAATACACTATATAATCAGAGTTAATATAATTTGCGATACAACAATGAATAATACCTGTTACATATTTTACGATATCGCTTATCACTTGTGTGTTTGTTTTGTATCACAATTTATTTTATTTATTTTGTGCATAGATTAATTCATGGACAATTAATATTATATGCCTATGGATTAAACATAAACCATTACAATATTATAATAATTATACTATATGTCTATATCATACGTATATGATCTAAGGATTAAACACATGTTTAATCTATGCTCTGTGTTTATATGATAGTGATAACTGATAAGGTTAAGCCCAGTAAAATATTACAATAAAACTAGTAAAGTAGTAAAATTTTCCTAAATATTTGTTTAAAATTTATGATAACGCCACTATCGATGATTTTTTTGTTTTAAAAAACAATAAATAATTGAAATAATTGACATTAATTAGATTCACCACAAACAAATGTATTTTCTCGAATGTCGTGTAGCTCTATCACCTGGTGGACCAATTGCCCATACGGCATTCTACCATAATAAATCATTATATTAACTTTAAATCGTTAGGACATACTAATCGTCTAAACCAATATTCACGAAATCGTTTCCCGTGGACAAATTTTGCCGGTCCTTGACAAAAATAAAAACCGTTAATATTAGACATACTTTGTAATCTATAATTTTTGTTCATTGGTTTTTACGGACGTCAGTAATTTTGAAGGCCCCGAAAAATTTCCAGATTGATAATGTGGACTTTTAAAAATATTATTGATGAGCCCTCATCTAAACTATTCTGTTCAGTCTTCCAAAGTTTCCAGTTACAGCGTACCATCATATTGCTTATCAATTATTATTTAATTAGTAATTACATATCGCATTTGGCAGTTTCGACTTGGAAACCTCTGTTGTGGCTAGTAAACATAAAATAGCAAAATTAACTACTAAAATTATAACCAAACTCGTCATTTTGTGTTTTATTTGATAATTATATACTGAATTCTAATTTTCTAATTCAGATCAATAATAATTGTACCTAATTAAAATGATATTTTAGTTGAATTTAATAACTGTTAAAATATATATAAAAACTTCCATTTTATTTTTAGTTGTATTTTTTTTTCAATCTTTGTATACTTCTATTTTAGACATTTTAGTAYTGGGAATAGTTTTTCTGCGTTTGAAAATTCAGTTTATGTTTTATTGGTGTGTGTGTTTGTATGGTTTGGTTGTTGAACCCTGCATAATAAATGAGTTAGAATGACATTTAAGAGGTACATAATATATTAATATAATTATAACCATTGATTAAGTAAATCTAACCAAATCAACCAGTGACCATCTTTAAAATAACAACTTCAATAACAAATTAATAAACGATTACCAATCTAATTGAAAACTCTTTTTATAATTTAAGATTCCTATGGGTGTATCTTGTCCATTCCTCACAACTTTAATTTCCACATACAGTCTTTCATTTAATAGTTAATGCACAATGTATAGTTTAGTTGTCGTTTTTAATACATTTTATTTTATTGTGTAGTAGACTGTATAATGCCTGCTTAATCTACCAAACAAACAATAATATTAATAATATACTACTAAATACTAATAATAGGTTATAATATTATTTAATTATTATAAAAAATAGCATATTATTAAAATCAAACTATTGTGCTGGTTCTATATAAAACCATTTTAAATTTTCCGTAATTTATTGTTAATAAACAACTCGATATTCACATATTTTATTTACGTTGCGTCTTTTGTTTAAAACTTGACGACTTCGGATTTAATTACAAGTGATAAAAATATCGTCGCGAATTTCGATCGCTTGTTCGCCTCGTGCAGTCGTGCCAAGATAAGTGAAAACCGAACAACAAGATGGCAGGTGTGACGTATTATAAATTATTATAATAGTTTAACCCTATATAAAATATAATATTATTAGCTAAAACCTTTTAGTAAGCAATAGGAATTACAAAAGTGTGTTTGACATGTTTTTTTGTGGTGACACGTTCTCTTCTGTAAAAGACACAGTCGCATAGACAAAAACGGCGTACTACTAATACTAAATGGTATCCCGATTAACTAATCAGTAATTGTTTAAGAACAATAAGTAATATTGTATCGTTGGTAGTTGCCAGTTAGTAGTATTTCACGGTTTAAAATCAAACTGTTTGTGACTATGCGGTACGGTGACGAATAAACCAAACCGTGTTTCCGGACGCGTATCCGTCAGGCCACCAACGTCCGCACATAATTCTCGCACCGCCTGATAGCAGATAACAGACGCGCAGTTTAACCTCCATACGGTACCCACGGGCCGCCCCCTAACCAATAAAATAAAAATAAAAACAGATTCGGTGCTGTTCGCGTTCGCCGATAGTCGACACTGGCGCTGAAACACACTGTTGTCACTGTGTCCGTTGTTGTCGGTTTACAGTTCGCAGTCGTCCACCATTTTACGCCCCTGCCGTCGTCGCCTTAAGTTTAATAACGATATTATTATTATTTCACCGCATTTTTGTTTTAAATACACGATCACTAGTAAATGCGTTTCATTCCGTTGCTGCTTGCTTCCTCATCTTTGTATTTTGGACCTCCTCTTATGGTGCATTAATTATAGTCTGAAGACTCGCGCATTTTTGTAGCAGCCGATGCTGATGACCGTTTACGCGTTCGCCGTAGTTAGCATAGTCTCTTCTTTCGAATCTTTATCGTGTCACCCCACCGCGTAGGATGCGCCCTTAATTATGTGAATCGTCCGTCGTGTCGGACATGCGTCAAACCGTAATATGAGCAGCACCAGACTTAACATTAAAGGTGAAGCTCACTGCAAACCTCTTCGTGATTATATTCATATTGTTATTGTTTTTGTTCTCATTGTTGTTATTGTTGTTGTGTCATGACTCATGCGAGGTGTTAATTTTGTTAATTTTCAGTTGTCAAAAGTGCTCTCAAAAATTTTGGTAACAATTATTTACCATGTTCTCGGTGGGCCTGAGCGGAGGTGGCGATTCGAATCCACAAATAAAGTGCAATATAATTCAACTGATCAAGTTGTTTCCTACTGCAAGATTTGAATTACCGATAGACGAGATTAGGACTAGATTTTCTCGCGTACCACCAGGTGTTGATCCTACTAAATATTGTAGGGTTCTCATTCAACCCATTATGGATCCAATCACCAAAAAGTAAGTATCTAGTACTGTCAAGTACCTGTTTTAAAATACCTTTGTTTTTTAAACTATATTATTTTTCAACAAATTGAGTTTGAACTAAGTATTTTGCTGTTTTTTATAATTACTTACAAAGTATCTTAAATTTTTATTAAATGATAATAATATTAGGTAATATAGGTACCTAATTATAATGTAATAATAATATCACACAAACTGCTTAGTGTTTACTTTCTTTTATGATTAATGAAATATTAAATACATAATAATCTCCTATGTGCAGGAATGATTTCAAATGTTTTTAATATCCATAAATAGTAATTTCATAAAGTGTATGGTCTTATTATAAGTAACTGATTTTAAAGAACCTGTAAAACATAAATATTTAAAATACTAATTGTTAAATATGTAATTAAAATTACAAAATCTAAATACAATAGATAACATTTTTTTATTTGTGTATATATATGTAGAATAGATAGGCAAACTTTTTTTGTAAAGATCTACATCTGTAAATAAACATTGCTTTTAAGAAGTTATACAGTTATACGGATAGGGGTAGTTACTAAATGTGAAATAAAAATCTAATAGAGAGAATCTCATATCTTCAATATGTAATCCAACAATCCTACAAATAACTTTTATATTTTTGCAATAGATGGTATTCACCCACATCTAACCATGGTGTACATACTGATGCTAGGGTAGATTTATTTCTAGCTTTTTTACTTTCAGATATCAAATGAGTTACATAAATAAAACCTCGTCAAATTTAAGTTTTTATGAAGTAATTAAAAAAATAATGAATACAATATTATGTTTATTAATATAATTTACAAGTCAGTTGTTAAATGAATGCAGTCGTGTTTTTATCACAACACTGGTTTTTACGAGACTTTTTATTACTAATTCAAATGTTAGTCACAAAATCGTAAATGAATAATATATGGCTAATATTAGTGAATTACACAGTTATAATAATATGTTAAATACCTATCTTTAAAAACGTTATGAAAAATATAAAAATTCTATTTCTCAAAATGTTGTTCCTATGTAAGTATGTATCAATTTTTTACCTTTATAATTATTTTCTTACCTACTAAAATATGAAAATAGTTATGCCTATACCTATTTGTTCCCTGATTAATTGTTGGCAATTTTTTTCTGACATTTAAAAAAAAACATTAATTGTTGTTATTAAACAATCTTCACAYCTCTCCTGTTATTATACATCCTTTAATTTACATGACGTTTTAAACTTTGGAACTAGAATCTTGAATGTAGATACCACATGATAATTCAGTCGGACAACCTTAAACTTAAAATGGAGTTGTTAGTATAGCTAAGGAAACAATAAAAATAAAATTGTTGAGGAAGTTTCCCAATTTTAACTCTTAGTGCACATAGAGTATAATTTGAATTTTTTTTAATAAAAACATATTTTTAGACAATTAATTTGGTTAAACTAAATTGTTCTGAATCGTCTTTGGTTTGTAATTTATTTTCTGGTTTTTCAAAAAATGTATAACTATTGTATTTATCCAATAGTTTGTAAGTATTTATTTAATGCACAATAGATGTTAACTATTGTATGCAAAAATATGATAATTTGAGCTTTTAATTGTGTTATTATGTTATGTAAAGTATTTTGTATAAGGGCACCCCAACAACAGATTTTTACATCTATATTATGTGAAAAGAGGTACAAAAGAGTTATATATGCTGGAGGTAGATAATCAATATTATTTTGATAACTGATCTAGTTAGTTAGGTCTTAACTGGTTTGTAGTGATTCACTATATCACTACATTGATATATAACACAATAATAATAATAATAATAATATAATTTTTCAAAAATTAAAAAAAAAATGTACCTATTTAAAATCAGTAAATTTTTGTTTTAGTTATTAATTCTTTGGACATAATGATCAAAACATTTTTTTATCTAAGTCTGATGCCAATAAATATATTATTTAAAAAAAGACAATATACAGCATGTGCATCAAAAAAGTTAAAATTGGGAATTTTCCTCAAAATTTATATTTTGATAGTTACCTTAGCTATCCCAACAAATACTATTTTAAATTTAAATTTGTCTGACTGAGATATTATGTGATATTTTTATTAAAGATTTAGACTAGGCCACAGTTGTCTACTAAGTGAAGTTGGAGCATAGTGTGTTATCACATGTTGAAGTGGTGTGACTAGTGAACTATATGCGCTAGTAGTAGTAGTCGACCCAATTTTTACATGTAAAACATACAACAGATAATTAAAAATKTTGAATATTAAATTGTTCATTGATTCAGCTTGATTTGAATAAATTAACAGATAAGTCTAAAAATTAGGTTTTAATAATATAAGCTTGGGGAAGAATTTTATGAATGATATGTAATTCAAATGTTCAATTCTGAAAATAAATATTCTTAATTTTATACATTTTTAACAGATTTCATCACGTTTTACAATTGATCATTCACAAAACGTGATCTTATCAATTTTATATCACAATACACAGCGTAATATTTCTTTTTTAAATACTTTTCTATATTAATTGAAAATTTAAGTCATCTTAATCTACAAAAAATAAAATTCCTTATTAAAATCAAATTACTTATTTATTACAACACAATTGTTTATAGATATTAAATAAAAAAAATGTTTATTCTATTCCTTGCATATTAAAACCGAGCCAACTACTACAACTAGTGCTTTTAGTTCACTAGTTACGCCTCTTCGACATGGCTAGAACATGAGGAACATAGTAGCGAGCTCCAACCATGGAATAGGCACACTGAAACAAACGTATACATTTTGTTTATATGATTTTGCATTTAAAAACATATACATGAGCAGTTGCGTTTGTGTTTGTGGAGTGCATACTCGTTTTAGACAGAAGTGTGAATCTGATCAATCTTGTTTCACATGCTACCACTGCATAATTGTTGTGTTACTAAAATCAAATGATGTCAACCAATCAAATGAAAACAAAGTAAAATTATTTCTTTGGATTTTGTTTTCATAACAACTTAGTTAATAGAAATTAAGTATAATATTTGAGTTACCTACTCTTATATCATGTAAGTTATTGAATATACATAATATGATATAATATAATGTAATATAATGTATACACAGATATTAAAATCTACTATGCTATAGTTAAATTATTGATTTTTTTGGAAACTTATGATGTTTAAAGACAATTTAGAAGGTGAATTGGCATTCAACTTACCAAAGTATTATTTTCAATATTTACTACATACTTTTCTTTAAAGGCCCTTATTTTCATCCACTGAAAAAATATGTATATTCTTGATTATTTTTTAAAACATAAATACAACAATCATCTGAGTAGTTTTTCTTGAAAAACTTTCATTTGGTATGTATTTTATTATTTTTATTTTTCTAAAATAGATTTTAAGTATTTTATTTGTAGTATAATATGTATCATATTAAAAGAAATAAAAATATTACAAAGTTCTTTGAAAAGTTGTAGTTGATAGGGCATTGATGCTTAATGAACAAAAATTAATTTAGAAGATTTGTTTAAACATTTTTTGTGCAAAAATAACTTAAAATGCTGATCAATTTAAATTTTTTTCAGCTGTTACAGATTTTTGATAATTATGATTAAAAACTGTTGTTATTGTTAAAATTTCAAAAACCTTTATTATTGTATGACTCCATCCATTTTTTAATTGGTGTCAGTTTTTAATTTTTAATTTTAGGTATTTTTTCTATTTAAAAATTTGTTGGTGAAAAAACATGTGCACTCAATACATTAACTTAATGGCAACAGCACAATTCTTATTAACAGTTGTCTCAGTATAAATGTAGYAGTCTTTGTAAATTTTTAGGTACCTATAAAATATGTTATTGTGGACATTTTATCAACAAGAATAATAGGTAAAACAAAAGATAAATTTAAAACAAGTAAAGCCACATTTTAACTATAAAACTTGTGTATCTACCAATTTATAGAAATTAAATGACTTATTATTTGCTCATATTTTTATTTTTTATTTTTTTCTAATCGTTAGATTTATATTTATACATTTAACTATGGTTATTCAATGAACATACTTAATTGAAATATATTTATTGATAATTTTGAGGAAACAGTTGGTTTAATTTTATGATTTATTGTTGTATCTGAAACTTGATTAAATTATTATCGACGTCTAATGATATATCAAATATCCATTCTAATTACTAATTTAAAATTAAACCTATGTATTATTGTATAAAATTTGATAGTTAATATTTTCAAATGTTTTCCCATATGATTTACTAGTAGATTTAATTATTCATTTTTTGATTTTGTTTTTATTTTTGTGTATTTCTTTTGATTAATTTTTATTGTATATTGTGTTTTTAACTAGAAATATTGGATCAATCATATTGCCTACGCATCAGATTTTTAATAATCCAAGTATATCAATTACTCCTAGTTTACCGTTAGTGAAACAGCCGGCAATAGCTTCTTCCAGCAGACCACCATTGAGTATGATGATATTTTATTATAATTATTTGAACATCTTTCAAAAAATACTAATTTAATATTGTTGAACATTTTATGATTTAGATGTACCTCCAATTTCAATTTTACCTGTGTCTTGTGAGTCAGACAAATCTGTGAGTTTTTTTTATTATTCATCCAAGATTATAATAAAAATATTAAATCATTATTTTTTATTAAAATATTCTACCATCTATTACATTTCATTGTGTTAAATTTTTTAGTCGCCAAATAGTAAAGAAACTCAAAAAAATGCTAAAAGAACTGCCCCATATCAAATTTCTGATCGGTAATTTTTTAATTAAAACTACAATAATGTATTTTATGAATCAATAATTTTATTAATTATTAATTGTGTTTATTTAAAGGACAATTAAAAAGCCTAGACTCTCTATTACTAAGCCTACCAAACCTCGTAAAGATTACAATAAGCCTATTATATCAAACCAAGTTGTAAATCATCAAAATATAAAGAAAAACGATACAGTAGTTTCTAGTATTAATGCAGCTACATGTATCCCTTCAACATCAAATGCTGTTATCCGATCTTCTCAAGAGATTGCTTGTGTGCAGTCTTCAAAAGAAGAATTTCAATTATCAAAACCAGAATTGAATTGTAAAGAGGATTCTTCTCATTTAAATGTTAATAAAAATGAGAATGGAATCTTAATGAAGTATTTCTGTATTACGGACAATCAGTGCAAGTTTGATGGTGGTATAGGCGATAAAAGTGGATTTACAAACTCAAACCAGTAATTTTTTAAATTTATATTGCATGCACTAAAAACTTAATTAGTCAGTTTAATTCTCACTATAATGCTGGGCTATGTAAAAAATGTATAGCTAAATTGTTAACTAAAATTAAATGAATCATTCAAAAGTAGTTAAATCATGTTTAATGAACACTTAATTTATTAAATATTTAATTAATGTTTTGACTCATCATAAGTATGTTTAAGAAAATAAAGTATGTTGTACCTGCATGTGTTGTCTCTGTTTTACCAGTACATATCGTATCAATTTTTACATTCAGAATAATCCGTTGAACTCTATTATTTTTAATTTGTATTTATATAATTACAATTTATATATTATACAATTTGAAAGTAAGAATGTTATTTATGACCTCAGTAAGCTTTGTACTGATATTTTAATCTGGAAACAAATTATGATTATTTTATTCTGATTTATATAAATTTATTATTTCAAAATACTATTTCATAACTTGTTTAAAAATGAAAATAACAAAAAAAAAAAACAATTTTGCCTCCTAAATGATATTTTTGGCTTTAAATTTGGTAACAAGTCAAATTAATCTAATACTTAGTGTAAGTAATACTACAAATTAAAATGGATTATTCTGAACGTAAAATTTTTTATGTTATGCACTAGTTATATGGAGACAATATATGTGGGTACTGGGTGAAATGGGACAAGACGTCACCGCAAATTGAGCACGGCCAACTGGGTGTTAGGACAAGTAGATGTGAGTTAAGTGGATGCCACAACAGATGGGCGCTTAACATCATATTATACCAGTGGTTCTTAACCTTTTTCGAATGACGGAACACTTAACATTTAATAAGATTTTTGCGGAACACAACCGTAAAATAAAATAGTAGTACATACATTTTTAATTTTTTAATATATTAAACAATGGATGTATAGCATAAAATTGTTTGCATGCTATACATGTTGGTGTTAGTCTTTAAAAAATAATAAAATAATAAAAAGAGTTTAAAAAAATTTGAAAATTTGAAATTGAATACTTTGTATGAGATATTTTTGCCTGATGATTTTTACAGATATTTTCAATATCTGGCCGTATGTGGGTATGTATTGCTACTCTCATTTCCTCTTCAATATTTGTCAGCCTAATTCGGTTCTATTTTGAAAGAATTTTTTTTCATTGATTTTAAAATTTTGGCGGACACTTATACCAAGTCCACGGAACACCGGTTAAGAACCACTGTGTTATACAGTGATTATAAATTATTTATATTATTATTATTATTATACTTATTATCGTTTTCGTCATAAGTATCTTTTTATTAATTACATTTATGTATAACATATTGCTTAAACATTTTGTATATCATCATAGGTTTGTGTACATCATATTGTACTTAAACTAACTTAGATTGAGTTAATTTTTTTATACATTTTTTTTTTTAGTTTTTATGTTTAATTTTCTTATTAAACTTAATTATATACAACAAAAATAATTCACAAATAAATAATATGTTATGCATTATGATTCAATGTGTATGTGTGAGTCAGTTGGTCATTGTAAGATATAGGACATTGCCTGATAACTTACTGTACAAAATGTATGAGTTAAAATCTGGAAACACAGAAATTTTTTTATTATCTCATAGTGGACTGGATTTGGAAAAAATCCTAATTTTTGAACTTCAAAAAATCTCAAATTATCATTAAACTAGCATTTAACTTAAATTAAGAAATACAGTCCAATGGCAACCGACTTGTACATGTGGGTGTGGCAACACTATACAGATAGTTGACTTGTCAGGGGTGGCCATGCTGTCATCATAAAAAACTGGTCGCTACTGATTGTTTCATACCATGAATAGAGTATAGATATAGATTAATGAGGGTTAACCTGTATTTCGAAAATATTACAGTAAAATATATGCCTATCATTTAATAATTTTATACATCATCTTAAATTTTACTATTGTACAGGGAAATGATTCGAATACAGACTAAAAATGAAATTTATGAGATTACAAGATCTAAGATGATGGATGAAGTTCTCTTTGCTGTTGGTATGGCCATGAAAAAGGTTAGTGTATATAATCTAATCAACTGTACTTACAATATTTATTTATGCAAAAAATAATTACGAAATAAATTTTTAGTGTTTAAATTATATGTATTTTAAGATTTGTTTTGTTTGAAAAAAAATCAGTTAACTTGACATTCTTAATTGATAATATATAAAACTCTTCTAAAACCCATTTGAACCTATGGGCTATAGCTCTGGGGTAGTGCAAAAAATCAAACACAAAAAATTCAAACTTCAAAACATTTCCCTAAGAAAAATAATAAATGCCCCTCCCTTTGTTTCCAATCTTACACTCCATAATGATCTATAAACAGTAACAGTACTTGATGAAGCAAAATGCTTAAAAAAGATATCATACCAAATTACAACATCTCCATTCTAATCCTCTTATAAAATAACTATTTATCTTGTCCATTCCCGGTAATCCCCCGAGATGGCTTAAGCGAAGATGGTGCCAGGACCTTCTATCTCAAATTTAAAATAGCTTAACTTAATAAACCAAAAAATAAAAACTCAAAATAGGTGTGTCACTAATGGGTGGCTTCTTCCCTTAAAAGATTCATATGTAAATTACTCTGTACACATTTGTTTATTTTTCTAGTTGAGAACAGCCTATAAATTTCTTATAAAAAAAAGTTATATTCTTGATTTTTTTCTTAAAATATCTAATGTTCAATAGTCATTGGCATTTAAAACCATTTATTTTTTTGTGACACTCATTTGAAATTCACTTAATACTTAGATTTTTTGACTCTAAATTAGTGTGGTGTATTCTATTCTCATTCAATCTTTTCTAATATCTAATAGAGTAAATATAGTAATAAAACTTAGGTTTTAATCAGGAAATTTAAAAATTGATAAGTTATTATATAATTAATTATTACCTATGTATCTGCACTGTTTCATGCGATAAGTGGTCAAACACTGCAATTATGTCTAACTGGTGTTAACTGCTAAAATATTATATCCATTAGTCCGATGTATATGTGTCCTACTTTGTATTTGTAATTATATACCAAATTAAACAATAACATATATACTTAAATGTAAAATCTTAATTAATTTTTTTGTGATTTAAAGAAAAAATGATAATTAGTGTGTACAATAATAAATTGTGCATGCGGCATACCCATAACACTAGTTTTTTTAAATAGCAAAACCCTTGAATTTGAAACCACACATGAGTAGTTATTTTTTTCTATATCATTTTTCATGATCCGTAGACTATGTTCCTAAACCTAAAATTGACCGAGATACATGCTTACAGGCTATTAGATTTGCATATAATTTTGATTTTCCCATGCAATATGCACATTTGTTTTCTGTGATTTTTTACTTGGATATTATATACTTTTTTTATTATGAAATAAAATGCAAATTACCTTGTAACATATTATTTTTATGTAAGTTTATTTTTAATCTTGTGTTAAAAATTTCCCCCATTATTTTATAAGTATACTTCAAGTCAACAAGTAACTTTTTTATGCATTGTTGCCAAATTAATAAGAATTTCCAAATCCTCGTAAAAATTACTGAATACAAATGTGTAATATTTTTGAAAATATTGAATTTAAATGAAACTTCCATGTAACAAATGGGAACAAAAAAAACTTAAATAAAAGTTTGTTCTATAAAAATTACACTATTTGTAAATTTCAAAAATCAGCAAGTCTATAACTCAATTTTAGGATTAGAAATTAGAACCCTGGCCAGTGGATCAAAATTAATTAAAAAATAAAATCTATCCATATTAAGAGAACGCTACACAACCATTTGTTACAAGTGCATAACATAGCAAATTTATGTTCAGCAGATTACTTTTAGCTCCGTTAGTTTACAAATTAGAATGAATTGACCTATTATGAAACTTGATGTTAAGAACATTATCTGTGTTCATTTGTGGGTTTTTTAAGGTAGTTAAATTTTGTAGCAAGTTATGCGTATATAAAAAAGTATAAATTAAGCATAAATGATAATAACTCACTTAAAAACTAAGTTATCGTTTAAACCCACATACAACCACAGATAATGTTCTTACCATCAAGTTTCATAATAGGTAATTTTACTCTAATATTTAACCTAACGAAATTAAACGTGATCTACTAAGCAAAAATTTGATGTTACGCACTGGCAAGACAGACAACAAATATGTGTGTAGCTTTCTCTTAAGTAACTAAAGTCAGGGTTGCTAATTAAAAAAACTAGTTGTTATGTAAATATGCAAAATAAAACAGTTAAAATTTTTAGATTTTCCTAAAATGTGTACTTCTGTACCCCCTAGCTATCACAGCTAATGGTATTTCTATCTAAGATCGTCAAATTGAGAAATTAAGTGGTAAATATAACATGTGACAATAATGTGACATGCTGTGTATACTTTGTATATATAGAGAAAAAATATCATGTTCATATATTTATGATTGGTGATAAATAGTTTACTTCTTATTAAAGTTATTAGTTATTACACACTGCAGCTCTGGCTGTAAAATTATTTTGTCTTGGCAGTGCCATTACGGTGACAGTAAAGTTGTGTTCGGCTTTATTTTGCCATGACCGTCACTGCTACCACTGCAGTAGTGTGGACCTTAAACCTTATTATTAAGACTTGGATATAAATGCCATTTTTTAATTTTCCAAAAAATGCATTTATGACCTAAAAATTCTAAAAATTAAAAAAAACTTTTAAAGTTTTTTTTTCGTTTGGCAGTATGTCTGGGAGTAGGCACAAAGGCCTAGTTCAGATGCCTATTTGGCAGAATTTCTAGTAGGCACCCGTAGGTTTCTTCTTTGCCTGGAGGGGGGGTGGCGGCCTCTTTCTCTGGGGGTCTCTTTCTAGACAGCGTGAACTGCCAGAGAAGTGATGCCACCCGTGACCGGGATTCAAACTGGCGATGGTTCGCATCACAACTGACGCCTTAATCTGCCCAGCTACTACACCCTCATATATCATAAAATATGTAATATGTGAAATACATCTGCAGTATCTTTGACATAATATGCAACACTACAACACACACCACTAATTTAACATTATCGCTCGATAAGAACATTTTGTTTTTTGTATGTTATCGGTTAAATGGATGGTGTCAAATCTTGACCTAAAGATGAAATTCAGCCTTATTTAATTTGAAACTGGATTATCTGATGTTAAGTTCAAGTAGTACTTGTATTTCAATGAGGTAAAAATGGCCTAAAAAGTTTAAAAAAAATTCATTAAAAACATGAAAATAGCCTTTAAAAGTATAAAATGCAAAAAATATAGTTAGAACACAGAGTACTTAAAATAAATTTGTTGCAAATTCATTGAAATCTGAGCCCTACTGATTATATTTATTGTTTACCTATATTTGGTTACAACAAACTTTATTAATTATCTTGGTTATGACTTAAATTATATGTGTATTAAACATAAATCATACAAACAAGTCTCACGGTTTTAAAATCTACWTCACTTCCCACTTGTAATTCATATATATATTTATATTTGTATAGATATTATTTTATACCATTAAATTTTTTTATGATATTTAAAAATTAGTTATGCATTTATTTTTATATTTATTATTTTTTTAGACTGTTACTAAAGAAGAATTAGAAACTCTAAAACAAAATTCTAATGTCTTACAATCCCCTAAACTTGATTGGTAATATACATTTTATTTTATTTTTTTTTGTAGTCATCAAATGTTTACAGTTATTTTTAATAAATAATGATTGTTTAGGTCTTCTGATACAAAAAATGTCACTGCAACTAGTTCTAAGACAAGCCCAGCTAATCACAATAATATGTAAGTTACAATATTTATAATTAAAAGGCGAATCTTTAGGTTCTTAAAATCTTAAAATATAATTTTAAAAACCCCTAAAATGTTCTCTAAATATTCTTTTAACTAGTTAAACTGGTAAGTATGCAGATAATATGATTTTTTTTCTAAAATAGTTCAGTTACAACAATTAATAACACTGTTATATACCGTAACAGGTAAATTATATTAAACATATAAAATGTAAATTAATAATTTTTAATTTTTATCATCCTTAAATCAAATTATTTTTTTTTTTTTGATAATCAATTGAATATATTCTAAAATATGAATAATATGCTAAATATCCAAAATATACTTTAATATTCAAAATTAATTTTTTCCTACTAATTCTATAACAGATAAATTGTCTAAATTTTTCAACTTCGTAAGGCTATCTCCCAATATGCGGTCTACCTCCATTTTGTGTGCTACGTAACTATAAATATGAGTATAGTATGCGGTCTATCAATGTTATGTGTTCTACCTATATAGCTGGGAATCCCGCATCATTTATATTTATTATTTACCAATTTATATGTTTTATCTTAATTTTTCATAACAATATATATTTTATCATATAGGTAACAATACAGGTTACTGGGTTAGTTGGTTAGGTTAGTTGAGTTGAAAAAATAGTTTTTAAAATGCTAGTTAAAGAATTTTATAAAAAATTTTTAACCGAAGAATCTACTGTCAAATACCTGCAAGATTATGGTTTACTACCTTGTGCAAAACAATTTTTTTTTATACTTTAAATTACACTTATATTGTACTTTATTACTTTAATATTATTACGGTAGATCACGTTCATTTTGGTAGACCGCATATTTTTGTGGTAGACCGCATATTGGGAGATAGCCCTTCGTAAAGTTGCATAAAGCCAATAAAAATATCTTAAAACCTAAAGATTCGCTCTCAATTTATATCTATGAATGTATGATAATGTATGATTTTGGTGATTTAAAATCAAATTGTATTATAAAATATTTCTTTTATTAGTTCCAACTCAAAAAATCAATCCAATCAAGTCAGTATTAATAAATCACAGAAACATACAATCAACACACATCAACCATCTAAACAAACAGTTAAAATTCCAAATATCACTAAACAACAATCTGCTTCATCAACTGTCTCTCCAAAAATGCAACATTCTACAATTAAGCCAACTGATATAAGACATATTGTAACTAATAATCAATTTAATAATACTTCTCTAAAACAAATGGCTACAACAAAACATATTCAAACATCAAATAAACAGAAACTCAATAGTAAACAGCTTCCCATAGCATCAAAACCCTCAATATCAACCCTAGTAACTCCTAAAAAGGTGGCCAGTTGTGTAAGTCTACTTTTAAATTATTTAATCAAATATTTAATGATTATTAATTAATTATGTAACAGCAGAATGTGAAACCAACAGTTACATATCAGTCACCAGTTAAAGATGTAACTAAATGTATAAAGTGCAAAGTTGTATCAGAGGATGAAGTTTGCGCAGCATGTCGTATGGCTTCTCATTTAAAAAATGTTACAGTCACGAGGATTGAAACACCTAGTAAGTTGATTTCCTTGAGATTTAAAAACTATTTAACTATCAATTTATTATTACTATTAGGCACTTCAGCAATTATAGCTCCTGAGAATCCTATTATTACCCCTATAAGGCCTATTGATGTTCCTTCAAGTTCCACAAATTCTGTATCACCACATGACTCATCAGTCTTGATTTTATCATCTGATGAAGAAGATGATAATTTGGAACCTATTATTACTAAAGTTGAGACAACAGAAACTTTAAAGAAACATGTAGACAAATTAACATGTATGGTTCTTTTATTTACATATAATATATACAATAATAAAAATTTAATTATAAATTCTAATTTTTAGTGAATCCTAAACTTTTGGAAGATAGATTATGGCAGAAAGACTTGAGTGTTAAAGATTATTTTAAAATTGAGGAGTGTTACTCTGTACACATTGGTAGTTTTGAAACGATTCCTGCAGTAAATGGTGATATGTTAGTTTGCCTGCATGGAATACGTATGGTGATACGTAATCTTGGTAAGTTGGTACTAAATTAGTTATCAATAAATAATAACTGTTGATTGTTTTCATTTTTAGTTTACTTGCGTTATGTTATCATACCCTAGAAAATAATCTTAAAAATACCATATTTTATTGTTTATTATATATTAATAATACACTTTAAGAAGACGCTACACAGACATGTATCCGTCTTACAAGTGTGTAATATATCAAATTTCACTCATTAAATCACTTAATTTTCTATACATTATCTAACATTATCTATGTTTGTAAGTGGGTTTTTAAGATATTTCAGTTTATAAGCAATAGTTTAAGCATTTTTAAACTATACTATGGTATTATGCGTATAAGTTGCTAAAAATTTGTAATATTTGTGAAAACCCAATTACAAACACAGTTAAGGTAATTACCATCAAGTTTCAAATTGGTCTAATTTTTAAGCCAATGAAGTTAAACATGATCTTCTGTGTGTAAATTTGATATGTTTCTCAAAGCTATAAAAAGCTTAAAAAATATAACTTTATATTATGTGGAAAATTTTTATATAAATATTTGGTAAGAACAATGGTTGAATTACACCAATCAAATAAAATTGATTTAAAAAAAAAAATTAATTTTGCATTAAAATCTCTATTTTTGTTTTTCATGACACTTTCATAAACACCTGGAACGTCTATAGATATTTTCTTACAAAAATAATATAAATCAAACAGAATAATCCGTCATCTTTTATTGCTTTGAGGTTTAAACTTTTGGAGCAGCAGTGTGTTCAGTAGTGTAACTAAGATTTTAAGGCTGTAGCATAAAATCTCCTGGGGCCTCTTAAATTTTTAAAAATAAACAAAAGATAACTCTTCACTATTTTATGTTGAAATTTATTTTAAATACCAAAATAATATTATTTTTATATTTATTACTTGATTGTGAAATTTGTAATTTGATTTAAAATAACTATAATTTGTTAGGCGGTTTGATTCATTTTCAGTTGTAGGTATGGTCTTTGTTCATTTTGTCCTGGTTTTTACCCCACCAAATCTTCCATATTTTACGGAAGTAAAATAGAATTTTTTGATAGTGACGGATAACATAGACTCTATGTCATAGAGGGACAATTAAAACTGTGATGGTTAATCAAGTTTTTATTGTTCATTATGTATACTCTGTTTCATGAAATAAAAGTACCATGTCTTGACAAAAAATTTTATATAACCTACAATCCCCTGGTTATGTCTGAATGTCTAGTGGCTCTACTGACTGCTGTTAGCCTTCATCATACTAAGTTGGTTGGTTAATAAACTTACCATAAATTTAAAAATATATTGGACATTTATATTTTAATAAATATATTTTTTTTTTTATGCTATGTGGATGTCAAAAATTCTATTGCATAAATTTTGTTACTGTTCAAATATCTTGTTTTTTTTTTCAATTGCTATAAAATTACAATTAATTAAAATTAATGTAAAAATCTCGTAATTTTTTTTCTTAATCAAAGAACTGGGAACTTTTTTCATTTTTCTCCGATCCACCAAAAAAAGTATCAATTGCATCCCGGAAATATGTTTTCAATCACAAAAATATGAAAATATGAAAATATTGTGTAATAAATTTATATTTTAAACTTTCACTCGAACTCTTCTATTCATGCATCGGTATTAAAAACTGTTTAACTTTATTTATTTTATAACATATACTTAAATTGTAGTTGATATTTCAGTAAGAATTAAATAGTATTTCCGAATAAATACTCCTATAATTGTTATTAATCTATAAATTCAATTTTTTAATATTTAATAAATAGTATTCATTGATTAAGTACTTAACTAACTAAAGATTTAGATTTAGTTAAAGGTAGTTTMAGCCACTTGATTAAATTAATTAAAATTATACTTTAGAAACATGTGTTTAATGTTTTATTAGAAAGCGAACCAGTGACTATTGATTTACAAATGGACAATGTTGTGAAAATTTTGGGTTCATACGGAGAAAAACCTTTAATTATAATTTATACTGACCAAGTAGCTGCGGTTGGCATTCAGTATTTATTAAATATGAATGAAAACGATAAAAACTACATTTATGATCCACTTAGTAAAGGTTAGAAATTGCTTTTTCTTTATCTTATCTATAATTAATATTTTGTTAAATGTTGTTTGTTTTAGATGGCATGCTAAATAAAATAGTTTGGTATTTTAATTTAAAAAGAAATGAGTTATCACAGTTAGAAAAATTATTGCTGAAATTACCTAAAAATAAGTATGGACCTTTGACAGTAAATCAAGCCAATAAAATACTTGGCTTAAATAAAAAGACTGATGAAGAGGTATGTTTTTAAAGTTACTTATATTTTACATTTAAACATAAATTAAAATTACTTGTACTATTATATTTTTTTATAATTTTAAACCTAAATGATTCAATTTAAAAACTTAGTTTTTTTTTTCTTTTGCACATACCTATTTTATAATACATAATATGTAGATTGTATCTATATATTGTTAACTTCAATTACATTTTAATCTTAAACACATTATGTTAACCAATAGCAATATGTAGTTTGAAAAAGTTATATTTAGGTGTATTAGGTACAAGGTTTTTTTGGAAAATGTTGATATAAGTTCATTAGTACAATTAATACTTTTTCCATTGATAAAGTATATTATTATTGATTTTACTAATAAAATGTTATATTGTATTTTTTACAAAAAACATTTTGTCAAGTCGGCGTGTACACTTTCTTGATTTTTAATTTCTGAAGAATTATTTCTTATAACATACATATATTCTATTACTAGGGCTTGATTATAGTTCCATTTGAAACTTTTCTTTTATTGATTGGATTTGTTGCTCATTATGTTTTAAATTTGTTTCATGCAAACTGTTTTGCAATTTTTGTCATTGTTTCAATTAGATTGCAATTTTGTTGACTCTCTTGGTAAGCAGATCATAGGTCTTTAAATCCTGCTCTAAATTATTGCAATCAAAGATATGCTATTTAATACTTGAAAAATAAACACTAAACTATGCAGTTCTAATTATAGTTTTTAAATAAATTTTTTTTTATTAATAAATTTAGTTTTAAAATTATATTATTTTTGAAAAAATATAATTAAGTTAGAGATTATAGTATTAAAAAAAACGAATTTAATGTTGCCTGTAGAATAGTACATTATGTAGGTTAAAAAAAATAAAAATATCAAATTTGGTTGATTCTACAGAACATAGGTAATTATTATTTCTGTAGAGCGTATTTTTATGGAAAAAATTACATTGGCACATTAAAATTAGTTGACATATAACTATTTAAAGGTAATGTTAAAATTGTTGCAATTACAAATTCCTTAAAAACTAAAATAACAAAATAAAAACACGAGTATGCTATAGTACTTCAATAAAATAGTTCTGCAGAATGTAAATTTGGTATGTTATGCTTTTTTAGATATTAGATAACAAGATATGTTAAGGTTATGCCTTAATATAATATTTATTTTATTAGATATATTAACATATGATTAATTTGATGTACCGATATTTATACTAAATTGGCATTTTAATTTAACTAACTTAATATTTTTAATTACTTAAAATATTAAAATATTATATTAAGTATAAAAAAATTCAAAATAACATTTTCAGGCAAAAAAATGTGATAAAGAAGAACGGGAAATAGCTGATTCGATGGTTGTGTAAGTTTGAAATCTGTTAAACTTTAAACATTACAAATTTTGTTTTTAATTTATTATATTCTTTTTTAGATTACTCGAAGATAAATTAAGTGAAAGAATCCATAAGATCAAAGTATTGGACTATAAAATGTTGAGTTCTGGCGAATTTTTAAATGATATTCTTATGGAATTTTATATGGAGTAATTGATCTTAATTAAATTTATATAATCTAATAAATGTGAGTAATGTTATGAAAAATATAATTTGTATTGTAGTTATGTGTATACTCATGAACTAAGTGAGGAAAACAGAAAACGTTCATGTATCTTCAGTACATACTTTTATACGGCATTATCAAAATCTATTAATCTAGCTGACTATCGTCCATCCTTATCGCCGTCAAAGATTAGACACGAAAGGGTAAAAAAATGGACTAAACATGTAGACATATTCAAAAAAGATTTCATTTTTATACCAATTAATGAAAAGTAAGCATTTAAATAACTTTGATTATTCATTATAAAACTTTTTAATCAACTTATTTAATTAATACATTTTTAGTGCTCATTGGTATTTAGCAGTTATATGTTATCCTTACTTATCAGGTAAGGTTAACAAGGATGACGGAACACCAGTAAATATACCTGATGATAATATTGGTAAATATTTAAAATTTAAATATTAATGTATGGTAAAATTAAATAATAATTTCCTATAATTTAGTACTCAAAAATGCAATACACAAACTGTATACAAATAACTAACAACTAATAGCCGATGTTGCCAATGTTTAAGATCAATAAAAAAAAAAACTATACTATTTAGCATTTATTATTTAAAATTATTTCAGCTTACCATTTGTTTTCTTTTAACCATGCACATCATAAATCAAAAACGCATTCACTTAAAATTGTTTTTTTAAATATTTTTTTGAGTATTCCTAGAATAATTACACTTATTAAAAAAATTATAAAGAATAACATTGTTAAGAGTTTTTTATATTGATTTTGTATTTAATCTATTATTGTATTAAATAATAGATTTTTTTCCCTAAATTTATTCATTGAAATGACCTTAAAGTCTGTCAGTGCATATCATAAGTGGGTAGTAAGGAGCTCATGTGATTTATTTATGTATATATTACTATATACATGATACTACTCCTATCTCTTAGAGGAGACATGTGTTCTTCACTTTTAAATTGAATTGATATTCAAATTTTTAGATATATTTAGACAGTATGGTATCTCAAACCTTCAAATATATTGTAATTTTTGTAATAATTGATTTTATAATCAAGAGATCAGATTAAAAGATGTGATATTATTTAATGCATAAAAATAATATTTAGTGTTCTATTATCAACTTTAATTAAAATATCTATACATTAATTTTTATGATCACATACTAAATTAATGATATTTTGAACTTAGAATAGTTGACAGTAATAATTGTTAGTACCATATGAATTATAGGTCGATATCAACTGCCGCCATATGAGTCAACAAATCCAGATCGTAGTGAAGCTGATCCTAATGTTGAAGATCTTTGGTTGTTTGATCCGTGTTCAACTGTAAGATTTTTTTTAAATTCATTCAGATAATTCAAAATATCTTTATAGTATTTTAAGTCTAAGCACTTATCATTTGTATTAATTTTAATTTTTATTGTTATTTTACATATACATATTTGTTTTAATTTGTTGTATTAATATTTTTTAGCAAAGCTATGTAGAAAAGCATGGAGTTAATTATGAAACTGATGTGGCAAATTATTTAAAAAATAGGCATACACTTGTTAAACGGTAAATTTATCAATCATTAATTTAAGTTAAAATTATTAAAGTTTACTTATTTTTAGGCCTTGCATTTTGTTGTTTGATTCTTTATCTGGTGGTCTTTGCCGTGCTAGAGTCACAGCCACACTACGTGATTGGTTGGAACAAGAATATATCGCTAAATACAATGACGAAACCAAAAACTTTAGTCCTAATATTTTTAAAGCATCTTTAGTTAAAGTACCTCAGCAACCTAATTTTTATGACTGTGGCCTTTTTGCCCTTTATTTTTTTAAACTATTTTTTGAAGTAAGTTTATTAGTTATTATTATTGTATGCTAAATCTTAATTATAAGCTAAATTTTACTGTATTTTTAGAAGCCGATTGTAGATTACACTTTTCCAATTAGTCACTTAGAAAATTGGTTCCATCCTGATGATGTGTCTAAGAATAACATAAAAAGAAGAGAACTAAATAATCTTATATTGGCTAGGATGAAAGAACGAGGATCTGTTTTGCCTGTGGGTTTTAAATTGCCAATTCTCGATTTAACTACCATAAAGACGCTTAATACATCACAACATCCTACAAATCTTCATAGAATTACACATCCATCTGACATATCAAATTCAATAAACCTTTCAAATCGTCAGAATTCTTCAAATTTTTCGTACCTGTCAAATCGTCATAATTTAAACCCAGCTCACAATCCTCCCAAACCTTCAACTTCTCAAAATCATCCAAAACATCCAAATCTTTCATCTAAATTTCAACATTATATTAATAGAAATAAAATGAGGCATCAAAATAACCATCATTATTGTGATGACGACAATGAAGATTCTGATGATGATAGTATTGAGAGTATAGATGATGTTGAAAGACAATATGATGAAAACAATCTGTACGGTGAAGAAGATGTTGACAGACAATTTGATGAAAATGATCAGTATGATGAAGAAGAACCATATGAAGATCTTCATAATCAAGCAGAATATTTGGCTGAAATGGCACAGAATATAGGACATGATGATGACAGAGAAGAAGATTTAGAGTGAGTTAAATAAATATTTACTTTATATTTAATACTTAATTTTATTATCATATTGCAAAATAAAAATAATGAGGTAATAATAAATTAACTTGTGGTTTTATTAAGATTTTGTTACAATTTAAACAAACGATTAGGTTAGGTTAGTAAAAAAAATGAGTTGACATATTTAAATCCCCATAAATACTTAGATAAGTTAAAAATTATTTATAGTTATAAAAGTAATAAACTGTTAACATTTGAATTTTGAACGCTAAAAAAATGTATCTGGCTTTATAGTTACTAATCATTTTTTTATTCTAGTATAAACAAAATTCTAATTAGTTGTCTTGATTTTAATTTAGCATTTATTCTTAAAATGATTAGAAAAACTATTAAGATGGTGTCAGCGCGCGCTATTTGTTTTCTYTCTCTGGCCAGTGCATAACATACTAAATTTAAGTTTAGTAGAACCAACCCTATGTTATTACTATTAGAATGAATTCGCATATTTTAAAATTTTAAGTCCAGAATATTACCTGTGTACCCATGTTGATTATTTTATGACGTTTAAATTTCTATTGTAAATTATAAGGATGTAACTATTACAATTTAAAAATGCTTATAAATTGTGTAAAAAATAAAATATTGTAAAAAACTGATTTAAGTAATGTTATTAGTTTAAAGTTTTATGATAAGTGAATTTATTCTAATATTAAAAATAACACCACAGGGTAGGTTCTACTTAACATAAATTTGGTATGTTGTACGTGGGCCAGAGAGATAACAAATGGTACACTTGACATCATGCTTATACTTTAAAAAAAATATATATATATATATATATATCAAAAAAAAACTTAATAAAACAGATTAAATTTTAAATTTATTTTTAGTTATTTTTTATAAATCTAAATTAATCCTCAAAAAACTTACTTAGTTTAAGAGGACGCTACACCCGCATGTGTTGTCTCCATCTTACAAGTACGTGACATTGCAAAAACTGTTTCGCGCGGGAAAGAACTGAGAAGGCTACAGTCATAACTAAGAAACGAAATTCTCACCACAGATAAAAGGGAATTTCGACTGTGCAACATTGTTTTTATTTTTTTGATATTAGAACTGAAAAAAAAGTTATTTGATTTTAAAAAACGCAAAAATAATGAATTTTGAAACAATAAGAACTTTTTTTCTATTTGTGATATCGAAAAATTGAAAACTACGTTGCACAGTAAATGTTCACCTTATTATGTGGTGAAAATTTCGTTTCTAGTTATAACTGTATCTTTCTCGGTTCTTTCCCGCGCGAAATAGTTTTTGCAATGTTACGCACTTGTAAGACGGAGACAACACATGCGGGTGTAGCGTCCTCTTAATATAGTAAAGTCAGCTATTTTTGACAGGCACTCAACAGTACATTTTATTATACTTTCAATTATTTTTAGATAAGTTTTTATCAGCTGAAATATTATATTTTTTGGGCTTAATCTGTATTTGTTGTTTGTTATTTTTGTGTAATAAAAACTTATAGGTAATGCCGAAGTATAAAGCAATTGTATGATATAAGCGGCGATTCTTTGAGTTTGAACATTTAAAAAGATATGTTGCTATAAATTATTGAAATAAATAAATTATTTTTTTTTTAGCGAACATATATTGAATTTTTTAGCGCATTTTGGTTATACAAATACATACTTTGGTTATATAAATACATTTAAATTTGAGCCCTAACTATCACAATGAATAATACACTTAAAGGTTTTAACTGTGTGTAAGATGGAGAAAATATTTTAACTGGTGTGCTTATCAAGCTTAAATTGTATGCAAATAAAATGATATATTTTGTTTCTAAACTAGTTAATTGCTGTAATAACTTTAGTGCCCTTGCGCCTTCCACTATGTATGTGTGCATAGGATTTGAATTGTGCTTTTAGATGTCTCCTATTCATCAAAATATCATTTTTTTTTTTTGTATGAAACTGGGTTAATAATTTAGGAATAAAAGTTATATCCTTGTCTTATATTAGAACAAATCCACGGGCTGTTTTTCTAAGTTTGTAAATTATTCCTTAATTTTATAAATATCACCATCCTAGTTTTCATTTTATTATAGGATAATGTAGTGGTCAATAAATTGCAAAGCTGAGCAAATTTATGATTTTTTTTAACTCAGTTAAGTTAAATAGTTTTTGTTCAACTAAATTAAAAGTTAAGTTAACAAATTTTGCTGACTTCAATTAATAAGTTAAGCTAATAAAAAAAAAAATGCATTGAAAAGGTTTTAAAATAAGTGAAAATCACTTGTATAGTAGGTGATATATTATCTATGAATATATATGCATATATTATTATGATGTATATAATTTAAAAACTGTTTTAGGGCTGTATCATTTTATAACTCTATTTAATATTTATATTTCACTCTAGAGTCTGGGTTGATTAAAATTTTGATTTAAATGTGTTACTTTATTGTTTAACCTTTATAATTCAAAAATAAATAACTCAAACATTTAAAAATGAGGTATAAAAAAAACTAGTAACTATATTTTATACTTTTATACTTTTTTTTTAAATTTAAATATTACAAATATTATGTTTCAACATACTACAAAAATAGAACTAATGCTGGCAGAGCCAGTGGTGGGGTGGCAATCTATATAAATTCAAATTATCACTCCTAAGAAATTATCATTAATACCAATCTAGAAGTGGTTGCAGTAAATTTTTTAATAAAATATTCAATAACAATCTGAAATTTATATCTACCAAACTCTCAGGATTTTGAGCAAGCCGATATTCAAAACATTATAAATCAACTCCCCTCCCCTTATATCTTAGTAGACTTCAACAGCCAGTTCCACTCTTGACTCACGAGGATCAAAAATCGAGTAAACACTAAACAGCAACAATGACCTCAACATACTTAACAGGGGCCGAGCTACAAGAGTAAGCGTAAGCACGGGACATTTTTCAGCCATCGACCTTTCATTCTCATCATCTACAATCACCCCCTACATAGATTGGGATGTCATACCAGAATTATCAAGCAGTGACCACTTTCCTATCATTATGACGCTAAATCACACAAATTCCCATAATCATTATACTAAAAAAAAAAAATGGAAATTAAAAAATGTYGATTGGAATATATACCAAACGGAAATTGATAAAAATATTGATTCAACTCTGTGGACTAATACTTATAATGTAGAAGATAAGATAAAACTGTTCACCGACCTCATTATAAATACAGCCTCCGACGTTTTCGAATAAACTAGTTACTCTGGAAAGAGACCTCCAGTCCCTTGATGGAATAAAACTATCAAACAAGCTATACGGAAAAAAAAAAGACTGCCTTTAACAGATACAAACGAACTTAAGACATACAAGATTTTATACAATTTAAAAAAAAACAAAGCGCTTGTCAGATACCTTATTAAAAGTGAAAAAAAGTCGTGGAAAAATTTTACATCTAGTTTAAACAGTCATATTTCTCCAACCATAATGTGGAATAAAATTAAAACATTAAAAGGAGTCCCTTTTACACAAATTAAAACCCTGTTGGCTGTTAGTAGGGCAAAACATTTATATATATCCTATAGAGATAACCAACCAAATAGGACAGTATTTTTACTCTTAACAGTAGTGACTCTAGCTTGAATCCTGACTTTTTGAAATTTAAAGAAACTCAAGAATTGATTACCTTACCGAACCCCAAAACAACAACAAGTCAAGGTTTAATTCTCAATGATCCTATCACAATGTCAGAACTTAACTCTAACCTAGAAGGAAAAAAAAGGTAACAGTTGTGGACCAGACAATATACCATTCTTATTTCTCCAGAACATCTCCATTAAAGGTAAAAGCTTACTCCTCAAATTGTATAACAATATTTGGTTGTCCGGTATTTTCCATCATTGTGGAAAAATGCTAGCATTACCCCAATTCCTAAGAAAGAGCAAGACAGACATAAACCTTAAGGATATCGCCCTATTTCTGTCTTATGTAACCTGAGCAAAACACTTGAAAAAAATAATTTATTATAATAATCTTTTATCTCCAAACCAGCACGGATTTAGGAAATTTCACTCCACTTCAGATTGCCATGTTAAAATTGAAACGGAAATACTAGAATCTTATGCCAACAAACCAACCATGATTCTCATTAGTCTTGACCTTCAGAAAGCTTATGACACAGTCTGGCGAGAGTCTTAAATATACTGAACAAATGGCAATTTAATGGGCAAATGTTACAATTTATAACAAGTTTTCTTAAAGAGAACGTTCCTCCCGAGTAAGAATAAATGAACACATGTCAGATAAATTTGATCTCAAGAACGGAGTCCCACAAAGATCTCCCCTTAGCATTCTACTTTTTCAAGCTGCAATCAACAACCTACCTGATGAAATTTCACATCCTGTCAAATCAATTATGTTTGCCGATGACACACATATTTATCTTAAAGGGAAAAACATTAAATCAATGGCACGTCAACTCCAAGATTGCTTAAACGATCTGTCCAAGTGGTGCTTCCACTCAGGTTTTTTTTTTCACCAGAAAAAACCAAATGTAATATGTTTACCAAAAGGAAACAAAGTTCAAAACCTAAGTTATTTTTGGGAAACACACCCTTACTAATTGTAAACAACATAAGAATTCTAGGTTTGATTTTTGATAGCAAACTTACTTGGAAACCTCATATAAGTAAGACCAAAATAATCACAACCAAAAGTATCAACATCTTAAAAACGTTGAGCCATGCTGAATGGGGAGCTGAAAGTAATATATTAATCAACTTATATAGATCTCTTGTTTGGTCCAAATTAGACTATGGATCCATCTGCTACACCAATGCAAACCCCAATATTCTTAAAATAATTGATATACTCGTAATTCACAACAGTGGTCTAAGAGTTGCAACTCAAAATCGTTTTGCAAATACATTTTGCTCCAATCCCAATCTAAAAAAACCACTTGGTGTAAGGATGTAGTATGAAATGTCGCACACCAATATTGATCCAAATTTAATTATCAAACGAGAGTGCAGTGTGGTGCCTCCTTGGAGGGTTCCAACAATTCTTGTGGACACCAGTCTAGCGGATCATAGTAAAAAAGAAACGTTAAATATTATATATAAAAATGTATTCAATGAAAGCATGGACTCTTCTCCATCTAGCCCACAAATCTATACAGATGCTTCCAAAACAAACTCAGGTGTTGTGATCACTATCATAAACGGTGAGCAATCCATATCGTACAAATTGCCAGACCTTAACAGTATTTATACGGTGGAATACTTTGCACTCCTGGAGAGAGTCCACCTAGCCATTCAACTACCCGATTCCATCATAAACATTTGTACAGATTCGCTCAGCGCTCTAATCAATCTGAAATATAATATACACTCAAGCATCCTAGCAACCAAAATAAGCAACATCATTGAAAAAGCCAACAAGAAAATAAGTTTTTATGGACACCAGGCCATTGTGGAATAGATGGCAATGAGAAAGCTGACAAAGTAGCTCGTGAAGCAGTAAATAACCCTCTGACCAAAATACGCACATACTCATCACTCATCAACATCCATAGAAATGTCAACACCTTTTGTACCAATTTATGGGAATCTGAATGCCAGCGCACATCCAATAACAAACTAAGAGAAATAAAAAATGCTACCGCATACTGGCCTAAACCCCATTCATCAAATTGCAATGATGGAGTAGTTATCAGTAGACTACGTCCCATGGACATCTTATGCGCAGAGAAGAACCTGCAATGTGCCTAACCTGCAGAGAACCTCTCACAGTCAAGCATCTCCTTATCCACTGCCGTATCCATATAGATACCAAAAAAAGTCTAAAATTGCCCAACAACCTTTTTGAAGCCCTCAGCCCTACCTATGACACCACCAACAAAATAATCACATTTTTAAAACAAATTGATATGTATAATTTAATTTAAGAATCTATTGTATAATTATATTTTACTAAGTTCTAAATACTTGATTTTTCTACAAGCTAATAACCTTAGCAGTTGAAGCTTTACCATGAATAATAAAAAAAAAAAAAAAATATTATGTTTGTGTATAATATTATATAATATAATATGGAAGTATATTTATTTGTATGTAAGATTTGTACTTTGCTGCTGGTTTATTCAAAGTATTTATTAAATTTCAATAACAGAGTCATTTCAAAATTTTTATCTGGCATTGAACCTCTTATTTTGTTGAGCAACTTAACAGTCTTCCAGTACTAAAGAGCCACTCAACGTGTATTTGTAATAAAATGGTCACAATTCATGATAACCAACAATCATAAAAATGATAAAATAAGATATCAATAAATATTAAGTAATAATAATTAATGGTATGTAAAAAGCCTGGTGTTTTTAACATGACTTCGTGAGCTTGTAGCTATTGTTATATCTTATATAATATGGTCATACGGGCGATTAAATGTCACATTGTAAAGTAGAAGTTGATTTTAAGTTAATGTAGATATCAATGAGTTAAGTTAAAGTTAAGTTAATTAGAACAGCAACTAGTTAGTTAAGTTAAAATTAATTTAACTTTTAACTTATTAACTTGTTAATGTCCAGTCTTGATGAATTGTATACAACTACAAGAATAGCTTCTAATTGAAGCTATAGCAATAATGTTGAAATTGATTTTTAAAAAGTATAATGATGTTGTGTTAGTTTTTATTATGTTTTGTAAACATACACTTAAAACACGAATAACCAAAATAATATATTAATTTTTAAGAGAAGGCCAATTAATTTGTTTTCTCCATAATCTCAAATATATTTAGTCTTTAAGTTCGATAATTTCTCAATTCATTCAAATATTAAATTCTAACCCCACAAAATTTGTTATATTTTACATTTATAACATTACAACCAATAGGATGTTTATAATTATATGATATTTTATTATTTTATTTTTAGACATTTTGTCAATGAACCTCCTTTTAATGAATTTCACCGTAATATGTTGCATCCCAATAATGGAAATGTACCTTATGGTAATAATCTTCGTGCTGGACCAGGCAATCATAGAGGTGTTGCCCATCCTAATGAAAACTTTCAATTACTTAGACCTGACAATCATGATGTAGTATACAATAATGACGATGAATATGATGAAATTGTAGATGAAGATGACGATGAAGATGAAGTTGTAGATGAAGATATAGATGAAGATATAGATGAAGATGTAGATGAAGAGGATGATGACGACGAAGGTGATGAATTTCATCATAATCCTAACCATAATAGTGATGATGATGAAGATGACTACCCACATGCGCCCAATCCAATAATAAACCATCACAGACATGATATCCATTTTAATCATAATAGACGATTAAATTAAATTGAATGAATTTTTATGTTACAATCTCATTAAATGTTAAGATCAGTTTGACGTTATTTAAAATTGTAAATATTATGATATATTTGTAAGTAACAAAATTACTTATGTTAACATAATAAAATACTGAAATTTATTATTTAAAAATAGATATTTGATTTATTAATATGTTCATTCCAATTTATGTGCTTTAAAAGCATAGTTTTAAAAATATATTTTATTTGAGTCATCTAAATTTGATATCCTTATTTGGTTAGAATTTGTTTGACATCTATGTTTATGTGTAAAAATCCATGTGTATTAAAATGTTATATTTCAATATGTTGTTATCATTGTTTTAATGTATAATACATGTGGTTCTTATGGTTTGTAACAATGTAATTAATTTTGATAATATATATTATAAATGTACAAATATTTTTTTAAATGTGTTATTATGTTATTTTAAATTTTTAAATAATGAATGTGTGTCCATACTCGAGCTAATCTCCAATGTTGGGGATAGCTTAGTCTACAAGAAATGTTTATAAGCTTTATAGAAATAAAAATTTTTATCAAAAATAAACCAGTAAACAACATTCGTACATTTTCTATTATGTAATATATGCCATTCTATTCATATAAATATACTTATAAACAGTTATGTATGACCAAAAGAAAGGTTATAATATGCTATTTGCATTATGACTTATCTCTCATTAATTTCCTGTTCCAAGTCGTTCAAATTGGCATAGAACCTACACTTACAAAAATACTCGTTGAGTAAAAATTGTTACATTTTAATACACAAACTATACAAGTATTACTGATAACAGTGATAACTCTAGTAGATCTAGTAGGTTAATTAAGTCTGCTGCTTATATAAGTATCCTTTTAAATAAGTACCTAATATTCAAATAATATTTAGAAAATAAAATCAATCTGTCTTTACATAAAAAAAAAAAATGCTTTATTGGGTATTCCGATTTTGAAAAACATAAAGGTTAGCCAATACAACTTGGTTTTTGGGACATAATTTAAATATTTTGTAAATCAGAAAAATTAATATTCAATTAATTATATGTATGTTGAATTTATCTATGTAAATTTGATTAAGATTTAATAATAACAAAAAGCGTAGCACACTACTAAGTATTTCTCCTTTGTGAGGAAAGTATATGAATCAAGAGATTTTTTGGTGGAGCGTTAACATGATTACTATACAATAATTATTATCATAATCGTTTTATGAAATAAAACCTGAAAAACAGGTATAATAACCAGGTAACCTGGGTCACCCAAAATAGGCCTGCCCAAAAAACTGAATAGAAAATCAGGTAGGTATTTTTTAAGACATTATTATGTTTTTTAATTCATTTTTACATCGTTAGAAATTTATTATTAATTGATTTAGGTAAATAAACTTAAGTTACAGTGCTATAGTGGAGGGTATACGACGGTATACGCCGTATACTTTCTGGTTATTTCTAATAAACTCCGTATACCGGTGCTGATTAAGGTCGTATACTCTCTGTTGTAATGAAATTACCAAATAATATAAATATAAAAGTTATTAGATTATTATTAATATTGAAAAGAAACAATTTAACAAAATCGGAATCCAGACAACATTTATGGAATATTTTTCATTAAATTTATTTAGAAAAAAATGTTTAGTTTTAATTTTAATTTTCACAATTAATGWATGCGTGTTGTGTTATTTACCCTCTACGAAAGTATGCGATCAGATTAAAATTAAAATATAAAATTTTATTTTTAATTTTAATTTGTACAATTAATATAATATGTGTATTGTGTTATTTACCCTCTACCAAAGTGATACCTAATGATAGTAGGTATGAATGTTTAATATTATAATTCATAGTATACCCTCTGCTTTTTTTAGGACTACAGCACTGCTTTAGTAGCATGTAGTACCTATATTATGCAAAATGTATTTATAACCAATTTAAAGTATACAAGCTTAAAATTTATGAAAAAAAAATTAACTTAAATTAGGTATTATACTGAGTTAAGATTATTCAATGTGAACAAAGTAAAAGATTAATTAGAATTAACGGTATATTTAATTTTAAAAGTATATTGTCAGCGCACTGTTTGATTTCTGTGTGACCCATGCACAACGTTGTTTTTATAAGTGTTTAATTTCAATTTTTATATATTATTGATTATATAATAAAAGTTAAAATATTTTAATTTGTTGTAATTTGAATAACTGTAATATATATTAGTTTCTGTTATATTCAGTATAAATGTTGCAGAAATATTGAATTGTTATCAAAATGTTGGTTATCAAAAAGCGGACATAGAAACTAATATGCAATGTTTCAATTACATAACTGTTACTAAAGGTTATATATTACAATATTATATTTCAGAAATATAAATGGAACTATATGATGTTAGGGTATGGACATTGGACATACATACTAGAAAAAACCACAAAACACATTAAGCTGAATCAGTTAAAAAAAAATACTTTTTAGTAATCTTAGAATAAATTCACCCGTTAGGATAACGTTAGAGAATAATATTTTTGAGGGTATCCAAAATCGATTTAGTTAATAATGTCCCAAAAGTAATACTTAAAATTAAATTTTTATATTTTTTAAGTCGAAATAGTCGAATGGAATGTCAAGTAACAATTAAATATAAACCAGATATATCATACTCTCAAAAATAACCTCTATAATTTTTGTGATACCTGATTTTACTCCAAGATTATTCAAAGATCATAAAAAAACGATTTTAGGCGAAAGTGATTTACCTTTGSGCGTGGGTCTGAGARAGAAATCAAATACGTATTGCACTGACATCATCTTAACTCGCGAATATCTTATGAATAATCAAATTATGTTATTTGTCTTTCTTAAAACCTAGTCGAACTTCGACAATTTTTAATGATTGGCATAATATTTGTACACGCTTCTCCGGTCTCTTCATTCTTTAATCGGTGTAGCATATGGCATTTACTTACCTACTGTCAGGAATGGTGAATAGTGATATATAATTCGGCTTTAGGTAAGTCTTTGCTAATTGTTTAACATCATCGAGCATGGTCATCGAAAACAAAGCTGTTGATCTTTTGTCCTAAAAATAAATATAATTTTTATCAATATTTATTGCTAATTCATACATTATGACAGTCGGAAAGTGTAAGTACCTCAGTACGACCCACTCAAAGGAAGAAACACTAAATACTAAGCACGTATCCAGGATCAATTTTCGGGGGGTTTAAAATATTTTAAGTCCGTCTTCCGACAAGATTGCGATAGCATATCATAAATATATAACTACTTTAAAAATTTCTGGGGGGGGGAGGAATCCCTAAATCTCCCCTGTATACGGGCCTATATATATACTTTATGCTAAGATGACGTGTTAATGATGAGTAATGAACGACAGCACAATTATAATATTATTATTTTATTTAAATTTACATTTCTATGCGCAATATTCAATCAATTAAACATCTAAAGCAATAGACAACCAGTAAGTTTTGCCGCTTGGCGATTGCGTCATCATGTCAACCACGCCAATGTATGTAATTCCTCACCAGGGGGGGTCAGGTTAGGTTAGGTCTTTGTCGTACAAGTGCGTAGCATATCAAATTTTATGCTCCGCAAATCCTGTTTATCTCCTCCAATTTAAAATTTAGAGTGAATTGACCTATTATAAAAATTAAAGACAAGATTATTACCGAGGGCATCTCATGGGCTTTTTATTATATTTTAATTTTAAAATACTCATAACTCGCTTTAAAATTAAAATATAATAAAAAGCCCATGAGATGCCCTCGGTAATAATCTTGCCTTTAATTTTTATAATAAGTCAATTCACTCTAAATTTTAAATTAAAATTTGCTATGCACGCACTTGTACAACGGAGACAACACACGCGGGTGTGGCGTCCTCTTAATATATAAATAAAATATTTTTTCTGTATCCTAATTTTAATATCATAGCATTGGTGGGGCACTGAATTTGTGAGGGCCTCTGGGCTTTAGCCCACTCAGCCCTCCCCTAAATCCGGTCCTGTTCCTCACACATTTTTATTATAAAAAAATGTATTTATTGATTGTATGTTTTCAAATAAAAGTTTAAAAAATAGCAATGAACGGCAACTAGTGGAGGACAGAAAACTAGACTGACATGGTGTTCCCGTTTTTAAGAAAAGATAATATTATTTTCAATAAATCTTGCTTGTCTTTTTGATTATTATTTAACTAATTATTTTTTTCAATATAAAAATAGTCTAACATAGTTCACAGTTCCACACTATATATTACTAAAATTAAATATAGGTCAATTTCGGACACCTGATATCCATATTAGTTAAGCGGTTCCCAACCCATGAGCCGGGACCCTCTTATTGTGGGCCACGAGGAATGTGACACTAGATCCATGATACTAGTCGATGCCATTGGTCAGAAAATTGTAATTGGAGTCAACAATGATGTTTTTATATGATTTTATGTACTCGTCATATTTCTTATGTTGTCTTGTTTCTGTGTGTTTATATTTTATATCCACCTATATATTAGGTAAGTGGGCCACAATGTTTTTTTAGACAATATTATTGCAGGGGGTCCCCACAAATAAAAAGATTGGGAACCGCTGCACTAGTTTGTTCAATGCAGTGAAATTTAGTACCACTAATTGGAATCATGAACGATAAGGCCTATGGAATACGATTTTAAAAGTTATCAATTATTTTATTTTTATATCCATTAATTCATTTGCACACCGTTATTGGGTTATAATAAATTATCGTTATTTACAATTTTTATTAACAAACTTCGTCTTTACGTTTACTTTATTCTTGTTGTTTGTTTTAGATTCTGAGCGGAGCGATAAATATATTAATTTTACAATGATCTGTGTCTTTTATTTAATAATGTTTTGATTTTCAACTTCAGTAGCTTTTCCAAAGAGAAAATCTATTTAGTCCATTGAGAAGGTTAAAATTTAAAATTCTTTGTAGTTTTCAAAATAACCAGGAAAATAACCATAATAACAATCATGGGAAAACTGGATCTTTACAAAACAATGAGTTTTTGACGAAATAGATTGGATTTTGGTGTAATTCTAAAACAAATTACCATAGATACCTACATGAACATTTCACTGTATATTTATTTAATCATTTGATAGATAACATTACAATCTTGACTTATTTTGTTGTGAACCTAATTTTTTTAATAAGCATTTAAATCTCGAATTTTGATAAAATACGTAAAATTCAAGAAAATGTGTAAATTATTTTAAGTTAGAAATTCATAAAAATTCATCTATTTAAAACTAAGATTTTAAAATTTAATATGTGATTCCTCATAAGTTTGTCTATCTTAATTAAATAAAAAGAATGTCTACTCTAAAGTTACATTAAATTTTTATGAGCGTTTTAATTTCAATTTTTTACAACATTAAATGTTCACTCGATTTCTCTTTTAGCTACATTCTTATCTTGTTGTAATTCAAAAACAAAAAAACTGTTAACTTGAAATTTACACTGAATTTTTTTATTGACATAAATTAAATGTAAAGGTTTTTTGATAGAAATATGAATTAAGATAATGCATGAAATACAGAACGAAACCTTACCAGTTGATGACAATAAATTAATTATAAGAAATAATTTAAACCTAAAACATAAAAGCCTAAACTTTCTGAGAGAAATAAAAATCGATTTTCCTTACCTTTGATACCATAGTTTTATGATTCAATATGTATTCAATTTCGGGTTTAAATCCTCTAGTCAAAATTAAATCGACTTCATCAAATACAACATATTGTAAGGCAGTGAAAATGACCAAACCAGCGCCTACAAAACTAGCCAAGCTTTCTGGAGTAGTCACAATTACATGAACACCATTCTGTAAGAGAGACGAAAACAAATTACATTTTTATGAATTAAGTTTCTGAAGGTTTAATAAAATTTAAAATAAAATTGTTATCAGTATTTTACCTTAATTTTCTGTTTGTTGTCGGCGGTGGATTCAATATCATACAGCGGTATACATATAATTGAAGTGTCATTAATTAATCGACATGTAAAATCATATACTTTTTCAACAGCTCTTTTCGTGGGTACCATGATTATAGCAAGTGGGTCGCAACGTCGAATCTCGTCATTTATTTCCGGTAGATTATTCAGTAAACAGTTCATTATTGGTATAACAAAACCTGTCTGATAAAATATCATACAAATAAAAATTTTACCATCTAGGTGAATCATAATATTTATTTTAACAAAAATACATTCATTAGGCGATTTATATAGAAATCAGATGTATGTAGGACGTAGGTACTTACAGTTTTTGCTGAACCGACCGGTGTAATGGCTACTAAATCCCTCCCACCCATAATAATTGGCAAGACGTTTTTTAGTATTATAGTTGGTGCTTTGAGCTTAGATATATTGACCAACAGACTTTTGTGAATATCACTAACTTCAAATGATGTTTTTTTATTGGTTCCACGTTTCTTCACTCTAATGTTGATATTGTTCTTTCGAACAAAATAGGTGTTTTTAAAACCTGGAAGAATCCAAAAGTGATTAAAATTATTTATTATTTGTCAAAGTCTACCAAGAATACTGTCAGGGCCCAATAATCTGTAATTTTAATAATTTTATAAATATAATTGATTTGATAGTTTTTTTTTTTATTACTCCCTGAGAAGCCCCTATGAATTGTAAAGCTTTGTTAAAATATAATATTATTGTAATTTATAACCATTTCTACCTCTCTACGGTAGTTATTTATAACCATTTAATCTTTTATAATCACCGGTATAATTATTTTGTTGATTATTTGGTTTAAGATTCGAATACTCGATATTAGAAGAATCACCACAGTTCTTATTGTAATAGTCATCAGTTGCTGTAGAACAGTTTTTCGGTTTACTGCAATCGCTTCCCACGTCAATAGGACTTTCACTTATTTTGGATACGATATTTTTCTTGTCCATATTGATTTTTTTTTTTAAATTGTAAGACCTGAAAATGAAATAACAACTTTATAGTTTTCTACATTTTTCTACGTGTTTAGTAATAGATGAAATCTTAAAATATTGTTATTTGAAATTAATTAAAAACTTTTGGTAATTTGTATTAATAATGGATATAATGAATCAGTAATTCACACACACATGTGTTAATCTAAAATAATTATTTATCCATTATTAATTCTCATTACGGCAACCTTAGGAATTTTATTTAGGTAGGTATAATCGAAATTCTCGACGAAATGTGAAAGCCATTTTTGACGATTCCTAAACTTGTTTTTAGTGTTGAAACAATACAATAAATTATAACATTCGATAAAAATATTTAAATTCAAACATAATAAGTTTGAAAAAGCCATGTGTACCTAAATAGGTAATGTATGCACATTATCATGGTGGTGACATTATTTGTTTTTTTAGGAGAGGGTATGAAAATTAAAATTAAAATTTAGGGGTTTATTGTCCTTCAGCAATACGCAATACAAACATTTTATTATTATTATATATTTCTGACGTATAAATGTACAACGTGTCTACGTCTGATTTGCTAGCACTCAGTAGATGAGCTCCAAATGTACTTGCAGGTGAATTTGTCAGTCTTGTTTATTGTTAGGAAGTGAGCAGTCCCTAATTTAGTCACTTATAAATTAATAAGATATTTGAATAATATATAGTAACTAAAAGTTAAATACGATCAAATTAAGATAAAAGGATTTGATAAAATTTAAAGTTGATACAAACAATAATTAATAAAAATATCTTATCACTAATAACTATAGAGTTATGTAGTGTATAATTTTTGCATTTTTCTCTTTGATCCTATACAATTCTGTCTTAACTAATTAAAATTCGTTTCATGGTTCCTTGATCCAGAGTGTATTAATTTTTAATTTTATTTCACATGTTTATCCACTTTTAGCTAGGCAAAAATGTATTTTTTTGTTCTTTATGTACCTAAGGCAGCTTTTTTGATTTCCAGCACATTATTATACCAAAAGTTTTCGTGGCACACTCACCACAAATGTAATGAAATAAAGAGTAGTATGTATTTGTATGTTCACAGCCAGCTTTTACGCGGTAAAAAAATTGTTCAAGGGGAAATGTTCCGCTCCGAGAACACCGATTTACCGCGTAACACAATACGGTGATTACACAAAATTGTCCGTCTATTTGCCGTTTACACAAAAATATTTACTATATCAACTATTTTTTTATTAGATTTTCAGTTTTTTTTAATTTTTCAATCAAATATCACTAGTTTTATAAAAATAATATTTCAAGTAAAGAACACAAATTATTTAATAAACTTTTTTTATAAAAATTTAAAAAAAAACTGAAAATCTAATAAAAAATAGTTGATGCGGTAAATATTTTTGTGYAAGGRGMAAATAGACGGACAATTTTGTGTAATCACCGTATTGTGTTACGCGGTAAATCGGTGCTCTCGGAGTGTAACATTTCCGCTTGAACAATTTTTTTTACCGCKTAAAAGCTGGCTGTGAACATACAAATACATACTACTATAAAGTACTGTTTTCAATATTTTTTACAATCGTAATAACAAATATCAAACATTTCTCGCGGCACACCGGTTGAGAACCACTGAATTATAGGATATTATTATCAAATTTTAGATTTTAAAGATAAATTTGCATATTTAAAAAAATATTTTTATTATTATTATTGGATCGTTCTTGTTACGATTAAATTTATGGCGTATCGATACAGATTAACCGTTTATAACACTTGGTAATTAGTTGGTATCCAAATCCAATGACGAATTACGATGTTAATTACCGGATAATTACGGGATTCTAAACAAATTATTATAAATATAGCCTGCAGTTTTGTGTTGAGAAAATTGTGTGGACCCCTCATGAAAAATTCCCTATACGCCACTGACCGAACGCAGTTGCTACGAACTAAAGGCGACATGATTAATTTACGGATGAGTATAATATTATAATATTAAATAGTTAGTCAATTAAATTAATACATAATACATAAGTATTATGTATAGTAGGTAGACATACTCACATGTGTGTCCAAGACGAAAGAGTGGATGAAACCGTGTATGATGATTGGTGGATTACAGTTTACGATGCGAGGTTACCTTCGTTGACGACCAGGACGAGCAGCTTACGTGGTTAAGCAGGGCGCAGGTGCGTGCAGCGTCAGACACCGTACACTTCTTTGATGGATTTTTTGTGTTATTATCTATATATTTATAGGGAGACGTACAGTGTAAATTGAAAAATGATAATTTCAGCAGATGCGATGAACATAACGAAAACCAAGGTAAAGATGGCAATATTAGGAAAATCGTTGACTGCAACGTCGATCACTAATGGTGGTCGAACAGGCGAAATGATTCTCGTTTCGGACAACGTCTACACCCGTGTATGACCAATGACCATACAGCCACTGGAAGGGATGGCGTTACTGTAGCGCTATTAGCTRTAGCGGTAGGGTGCGTCTTTTACCACTCGGGCGACAGTGGTGTTAAAAGTACATCGAAAACTGGTTTTCGATATTCTCCTCGCGCGTTAAAACCTGCATGATGTCGATAACAATAACAATTACTATGACATGGTGCCGGAGTGGCGTAGCTCGTAGTGGTCACGTAGTTGTTAGCAACTCACATATAGTTATCGGTTCGATTCATAGCAATAAAGTACAAACAATTTTGTGGTTTTACGTCATCTACAATTTCTCGTGCTGTCGTCCGATTGCGTCATCCTGTTTCCAACTAGGTCCCACTCCACTGGGAGTGAAGATCGCACATTTCCCCTTTTAGAGAAAGGGGTAGTATCATGTGTATAGTGATATATACTAAAGATATAAATATAGATAAATAGATCATAATATGATCCTCTACTACCCGCTTGTGATACGCATTGACAGGTTGTTTCAATAAACAAATACAGAGAAAGTAAAAAAATATAGTGATATAACAAACACGTCATCAATGTCGACTTGGTGAAATATGAAAATACAACCCCCCTCCATCTATGAACCGGTTTCCTCGTAGAGACTAACCATAATTTGTATACGTCTTATGCAGGGCTGCGAGCGGTGTAAATGTCTTAAAAACTAGTTAAAAATTTAAAATTAAGTTATAATTTAAAGTAACTTAATAAGTTGAATTTAAAGTGTAAAAAAAATCCAATTTAACTTATTAAAAACAATAAGTAACTAATTAACTATTACTTTTATTATTTTTTTTAATTCCAAAAATTATTATCTTTCGTAAAACTGCCGAGTGCCGGAAATTAGTCATGGTATATAATTTATTCATGATGAGTATTGAGTATTTTTAATCTTACAATGAAACATTTTTTTTGCCATATTTTTATAAATATTAATTATAACAATATAAATTATACATTTCACCTATTTTTTTAAATACGCATTAACCACGATGCCTATAATTATAATGGCTATAATAGATATATTATATAAGATATAAATATAGTATCATACTGTTGATACTATTGATTTTTCATATCAAATGCAGACCTCCTCTTCTGAGGATCTGACGACCTGTTAAAACTATCTGTCTACTCGCTTATTCAAAAAATTAGTAAACAATTTTGAAAAAAATACATAAAAACCCCAAAAGTTTACACTTCCAGCGTATACCATCATCTTGTTATATTTATGGTTGATTATATGTATTATATGTATTATATGTGTTATATGTATTATATGTACATATTTAACTGCATAACATATTAATTTGAAACAAATATCAGTCACATAACTAAATAATTCCAAATTTCCACAATTTTCAAAATTCTATGTTTCCAACTTACAAATTTAGATATAACACGTGGCTGTAAGTCTCCTTTTCTCGCCACTCATGGGTGGGGTAGGTAGTAGGTAACAGTTTCCACCAAAATTGTACTTTCCACTTTTCCACTAATACTCAATCTAACAAATGGGGTATTGATCACTTTTCCATCAAAACAATTTCTATACCAAATATTTAACTTAATCAATTTATTGGTTAAAAAAAATGTAAATTTCCAATAACTTAATCATGCTTAAGCGACCATTATATCCCTATTGATTCAATAAATGTTTATTAATTATTCATGTAACCTGACATATATGTACACGAAAAAAAATAATTTACCAAAATATTCTGTTGAACGATATTTAGTAGTGGTAACGTATTGATATCTAAATCTACCAATTTTTTGGTTGTTATTGCAGAGCTCATTTTGTATGGTTACTTTATTAGTTCTGTAAAAGTTATTTGGTGGGTACAAATACATTTTTGTTAAACTAGTACTCAATGTGTAAACACAACAAAATTGTTGTATATTATATATAATATTATAACATTCAAAATATTATGATGGGTAAAACACGATTGCGTACGTTCGTTATCGGTGATACCTTTTTAAGATACACGATTCCGTATGATTTTACCTGATTTTTAACTTCACAATTGTATACGAAGTTTTACGCGTTTTTGTCAATTTTCATACTGGTATATATACCACATATGACTAGGATTAAGATTTTATAGCATTTCCATATTTCTTATGAGATTCTTAAAAAATAGCAGAGTAAGATAAAAATGTGTTTCATGACACAGAGAACTCAAATTAAAAAAATTATTTTGCTTTTTTTTTGAGACTTTTGGCATTTTTGCCTGTTTTTGAATGAAATCAGTCTTATTTTATGAAATTATATTTTTTTGTTAATCGAATTATCAAGTATTTTTAGCACCACAAATGGACCTGAAAGCTTATTCATAGGACCTATATAATGATGGACAATTTCACAGTGCTCATCTTCCAACACATATTGTTATTCAAATATTGAAAGACCAGATCAATTATACAATTGGTTAGTAATGGGGGAGTAAAGAAAATTGAAAAAAAAAATACTTAAACAGAATTCAAAATACAATAAAGGATTATGATCAATATAAAATCCATAACAATATAATT